GCTAGCCAGGAAAGGTTCCAACCTTCGACTGCGTGAAAACTTAGGTAAAATTTGGACACACATGGCCACCTTCAAATTAAGGATTAGAAGTAGCATTATCGAATACCCCGCTAGGTCATGTTAGAGACAACAATGGCCGCAGATCGGAAAGAAAGAGCAGAAGAACTGCTCAGCCTCCGGAGAGAGGACAGTTTGAAGGTCATGGCCTCTGTAACCGATCATTGGCTATTTGGTAGGCACACTTCGAGATTAGGAGCATACTTCCGTTAATTTTGTAGAAGTGGCAGAGGTGAGGTAAAGGAAGAAATGAAATAGTCAAACACTTATTCTGCAGTTGCCCAGCTTCAGCTAAGAGATGAGCAGACCTTTGGAATAAAACCAATCCTACGCTTCATAAGAGCTTCAAAATGCTCCCATGGAAAATAGTCAATGAGGGCATAAGTTAGTTGGGCTTTTGGACTGACTGCTACATACACCTAACTTAACTGAATACAACTTTTACAGAGTTGCTTTAGATCGGTGGTGGGCACCGCCTTGCCCGCGGGCAAAGCTCTTTTAAGCTTTCCATACATTTAGTATAGGCGCGTGCAGAAGCACTCTCTGCCCATCGCTGCTTTAGATGAATACTGAAGGGTTCTTAAGCAGGGAACACACGATTTGTACTTTTGTAAAGACTTGTACATTTTGGCAAGCACAGAGTGTTGTTGTCTGCAAATTTTTATTGATAATGAGTTCAATCGGCTCAATAAAAAAAATTCCAAACAATCCCACTCTTCAACAGTCAAAACCAACCAACCAATACCACTACCTTTATTTATTTTTTTAATGAAGAGTATTTCATACAGTTAAGAATCTATTTTAAATCGTTCCAAATCGTCACAAATTCTTCGCCGCTTTGCACCCATTACTCAAACAATTTTATGCTACGTAAATATATTGAAGCTTTACTCTCCATTCTATTTACTTTGGTATGCACGAAAAGCAAAGAAATATGTGAGTAAATAAATAAATTCGCGAATGTGCTATTGATTTTGTTATCTACATTCGTAGAGTAGATACGCTCTTCCATTAATTTCTTCTCGAAAAAAAGCGGTAAAGCTTATGGAAGAAAAAAGAAAAACCAAAAATAAACACCGAAAACCAAATAACGCTGAGTGC